ATCACAAATCACTTCTTAACTCGTACAAGTATATTTCATAGTTCAATCACTGTATTTTATTATATTAAGTGGATTACAAAGAGCGATTAAAATTGTATATTCTTTACGATTCGATTTGAAACAGAACTTCATAAATACAAAAGAGTAGATAATCACAGTTCCAATTCAAATTCTTCAAAAAGATTATTCAAAGTTTAAGGAATAGATTAATATACTAGTTGTTTCTCAAATTGGCCGTTTAAATTGCAAAATTTCAAATATAGAAATGTTGAGTACGACTGGCCTATTTAATATGTTAAAAATATCACATCCAATTTGAATGTGTTAGTATATTCATATAAACGAGTATTGACATTATAGTAATGATACGAGTGAATAATTGATAAAGTACAAGATGTACTCGTGCTTTAATTCAATATTAACAATAAATGATGGTAACATGTGCAAAAGCAAATATACGCAAAAATACAATCAGGCACAGGTACACACGCACATATATATATATATATATATATATATATATATATATATAAGAATAACATGCGTAATTTTAAGCGTCTACATGTTTTATGTAACCCCCCCCCCCCTTTTGTAATTATTTTTTACCTTTGAGCTGAATATGTTAGAAAAGAGAAAATTCTGAAACAATGTATTCCATTAATGTATTTCCATCAATCTTTCCCTTACATTAGAACATTTCCATACATCATTTCGAATCGATTTTATGGGAGACAACTTTTTGACTGTTATTTAATTTTATCCCATAATTGTTGTTTGCATAGCACGCTCTGTAGAAAGGTTCTAACTAAAAAAGTAAATGATATTTTGTGTGATTTTTGTTTAACACTGTTTTTCTATTGTTTTTACAAGTCGCTATTTTGTAAATAAAGAATTATATAATGAACAAACTCTGTGTGACGAATATTCCACAATATTTCAGAATAACAATATGAGTTTTTGCATACGACTTTGCCTGAATTTAATTATCGTGCAATTTTTTGGTAGCTAATTACCTACATCACCGATAGAAAGAAGTTGCACATAATTTAAAGCTAAAATACATAATGCATATTATGAATTTTCGAATTTAATTTATCATAAATAAATTTGGTTTGAGATAATATACGACATGATTATTTATCTTGTTTCTTCTTATCTTTTTTAAACGATTTAATATACATATCTTTGTTTGTGATGCACAGAATTTGGGAAAGTTTATTTGTTATACAAGTCTCTCTTTACAAATCAACGATAATTCTATGTCATACGTGTCAAAACAATAGGAAAATAATATAAATAGAAAATCAAACAAAATTTAGTTTATTTTTATCATTAGGACTTTCTACCGTATATACCTACATCATGCTTAAATTACGAAAAGCGTTAGTTTCAAAGTTGACTCTCACGAATCTTTAACAATCGTCTAAAGAATGCTAAAATCATTGTATAAAAAATATAATATTGAATGTTGTAGAAAGATATGTTAAAATACTCAATGAAGGTTTACTCAAGAGTAATTTATTTATTAAGCCGGCATTATAAATTTTATACATTATGTAGGATTTTAAAAATCTTTTTACTGTTACGCAAAAACGACGACGGTCAAAGACAATTATAATTGTAATAATATTAAACAAGCTAATCAAAATATTGATAAATTATTACCATGTATAAATTCAATTTGTCAATGGGTTCAAATTCTTTCACAAATGCTAGAATATCTTCAAATTTTTCATATACCCTGTTATCAATTATATATATATATATATATATATATATATATATATATATATATATTATAAATTTAATAAATATCTAATACTATATACAATAAAATATAAATTGATAAATATAAAATACGCCTGAAAAAACGACTAACAGAAACTTATTTGCATCACAGATTTTTAGTGAGCAATGAACATAATATGAAAAGATTATCGCGCTACTATTTTTTGAGTGATTCTTATTTTTAATATGAGTTGTTTTTATAGTTTAATCTCTAGTTTATTAATTGAGCAAGCAACAAACGATATTAAGCTAATAACCAAAATATAAAGCTGCGGACGGTCATCTAATTTTAAGGGGGAACAGATCGAGGTGTTGCGCAAAAAAGAAAAGTTCTGAAAAGCCGAGGAGGCGTTGAAGGAGAAATTTTAAAAATAGAATATCTATATATATATGGAAATGGAATAGTCTAGAAAAAGTAAGGAAAATGCATTTTGGCAAACCACTAATAATGATAAAATATTTGCAAACCATGTTGTCGTGTAGCATTTGGATATTTTCATTTGCCGAGCGGATGGAGCGATTAAAGCATTCGTTCGAATGGCATATCTAATTTACGGACATAAAACCTATGTTCACACACACACACAGACGTTTATATATATATATATATATTAAATATATATATATATATATAAATAATATATATATATATTAAATATATATAAATAAATATATATATATTTTATTTGTACTTATTTCTGCTAAAAACGCATTCACAAAAAGCATGCGAACGTTGCAATTGTATTCGTTGTAATTTGTAAAAACACATTTCATAGCCGTTTTCCTTCGGGGTGTTAAAGGTATAATCATTTACTTTTAGTGAAAATGAAAGACATACCTAAAATTTTTTTCATTTTTTTTTATATTTTTACTTACATAAATATGTATCTGAATTATTTACAATAATTTTACAGTTTACTATATCGCTCCTACCAACGTAGATTTTTCTTACTTTATTAAATAAGTACTCGCCAAATTGTTATACAAATTGCTTCTATAAAATCATATTCAGTTCTAATCTGTACTTGAATTTTAATATGTTTGATACATAATTAAGTAGACACAGCTTCATAAGCTTAGTCTTAATTACAAATTCATAATTTAATTTATATATTTCTATCATTAAGAGTCTATTATTGTTTTTCAGTCGACATGACATCTTTTATAGTTACATGTCAACAATTACATATTGCAAGGGCTTCCAACACATTTTATATTATTTCGATTTCCTGTAAGAACTAGAGCTTTCTTTTATAGAAAATGAAAGTGAAGTGTAGAAAAGGCCATTAGCTTTAACGAAGACTTCTTTTAAAAACACCTCCGAGCAATTCTATTGAACAAATTTGCATAAAATATGAGGTTTAAATTAATTATATTAAATAATACTCTTGCTCTTACATGAAGAAATAATATTTTTGTATTATCATTTTGTACAGCAAACTACGGTAAACGTAAGGTTCAATTATTTATTGTCTGCATAAATAATATAATTTTACTTATTTAGTAGTACAATATTACCATTGTTCCTAGCTAGATGTTTAAATCAAAATGAAATTTATTTTTATGTATATATATATACGTATATATATAATATACATAAATCTTATATTTTTCACAAGAATATCTTGAAACCCAATACCTAATTATTTATAATAATTACTTTTATTAAAAATAATTTAATACTCAGCCGGGCGCTACTTTTAACAATTACACCATTAAACGCTCTATGTCTTGTTAGATTAGAAAATATTTCACCATCATTATTAATAACTTTCTATTTTCAACAAATTTATTCTAATTAATTAAGAAGATTAAATTAAAGTCTAATCTTCTCAATTGTGTGTATATTTTAAGCTAAATTGAATTAATTTGAGTTACTCAGGCTTCTTTCTGATTTTGAAATTATTTTTGCCCGACGGAGCTACATAAATAATTTATTTCAGTTCACATTTAAAGAAAAGCTAAATAATTGTAAAATAATTAACCGTAGGCCGGCTCATACCACATACATTATCGCAATATTCGATTACAAACTTTATAAGAATATATAAAAGAATATGCTTTCAAAAATATTGATATTATGTGTAATAAAATTCTCATGAGTTACGTTAAATTTTCTTCGATTTGGATATTATCCTATATATTCATTTAAGTTTTACCATGTGTTAAAAACGATCGACGTATGAAATAACGGTATTTTGTGCAACATGTATGTGCAAATATATATAAACTTGTAAACTTAAATCATTTTGTAAATTGCAGACTAAATGAAACAGTTTTGTTAAAATGTAATATGAAAGACAATCCGAAGCGTCCATTTCTCCATTTCCCATATAGTTTTATAAGCTATATGTTACATAGAAAGATTTATGTACTTATTTAAAATTTTAAAAAATAATTTAATTAAATTGCGCTATATTGTGTAAAATCGAAATTTAATAAAAACAAACACTGAATATGATTCAGATAACGACAGAATTTTAATTGAAATATTACAATATTATTGATCTTCATTTTTTCTATATTTCCGAACTATTACTATATTAGAATTCAGCCCTCTTTCTGGTCTAACCAGTGTCAATGACAAAATAAAAATAGAGCAACAAACACAACGTTATCTTTATATTTATTATGATATTTGACAAAAAAAAGTATTGTTCAAATCTAATTATAAGTCTGACCAGCAGCTAGTTCTTACTAAGAGCACGATGAATATATAACAAATGTTAACTATAAATTAGACAGATAAAATAAAAATTATCAATTACTACGTTTAAAATTATTTAATGGTTTATTAACAGTATGACAAATAACATATATAAAATAGAATAATAATCACAGCACTAGAGTTAATACTTTTTAATGAATAGTGAACGCTTCGAAATGCACTTTACACAATTTTTATCATTCAAATTATATTTTGTATAACAACTATGCTATATAAATCTTCAAACTAATACAATGCGAATTGACAATATAAATTATTAAAGTTTAATTTTAAATTACTATTTGGTATTGTGTTTGTATATTAGAAAAATATACATATAGTGCGATGTAGTTAATTGATCAAGGTAATGCTAATTAGATACAAAATTAATCATTTTATCGGCAAAATAATCAATTATTTTATATAATAATTAGTTTGGTTTCATAATTATCACAATCGGATGTTTATTAACAAAATATTACGATTAAATATTATTCAAATAAGATTAAATTTATTCAGTTTCTAGGAATTGTTAAGTATTCATGGTATATTGACTGTGTAATCTTCAAAGGATTAAATTTCAAACAAGACGGCGTGCACAGATAGTTATCTAAATTTTATTTAATTACTAAGCAATTCCTAAATCAGATCTATGTTTTCATTTATTATGTCATCGACAAACCGCTAAATCATTAACAACTAAATATTCCAGATTAAAATAATAGCGGTAAAATACATATATTATCATATCACAACTTTATTAGTTAATAAATACCTACGCTATGTTGGAAATGGTAAAGATATACGAGATGTTAATGAGAATTTATCAAGTATCTAATCGACTATAAAGACCGGAGAACAAAATCAGCGATAACGTTTAATAGCGACTAAGTGCAAGTAAATAAAACTATCACTATATAAATTACGTCAATTATCATATTATCTCTTGCTTTTACATGCAAATCATAATTTTTGCTTTTTCGACATCGACGGCCACAACATCAGTCGTAAACAATGAATATCATGTAATTGTGCTTTTATTGAACATCACCATATTATAACCGAAAATATCTCAGACATTTGTCATAATAACTAACTAATTAACTAATTACAATATAAACAATTAATTCTTTGTACTATTTTACATCTATTCGCATACCTTTCCCACTCTGCTAAGTTAAGCGCGCTTTGCACGGAACATGAGGTACTATTTTATTCGGCTCAAACGCATTCGCATGCATAAACTTACTAAACTTAAACTTAAACTTAAACCATTCACACGTTTACTATGTAGGTATATGCAATGTAAATATACGTACACACATATTTATCATACATATATACAAACATACACGCATGCACATACCTATACATGTGCAAAACATGTATATATGCCCAGGTGTATGTATACACATATTTATATATGCATACCGGCTATACATACATTCACACGCACACACACATATATACATACATATATATATACACGTATATATATACACGTATATATTACATGTACAAATATAATATCAAGGTATACTTCTCAATAATGACTAAACAACATTCGACTCGAGAATGAGACTGATTGAACTCGGCGAGGATCTCGAAGGTGTTGTTCGAGTCTTCTTCAGAAATCCATGACTTCCATGCGAAAGCGCTTCGCGTCGGCGGGCGAGAGACGCGCGATCGAGTTGCGGTTCAGCATCGTAGGCGGCTCGTCGTCGTCGCTGTCCTGGCCGACGGGGCCGTCGGGCTGCGGCCGAGAAAAGTCATTCTCGTCATCGTCCTCTTCCTGCGAACCGATAGAATAGACAGAATTCGACGAAATTATTAGATACTCATTGTACAGACGTAACTGATTTTAGATTCGGATTTATATACAGGTAGCCCGAGTACTAGGACTAATCGTAAGTACGACAAGGTTACGTTCCAAAAAATTAAATAAAACATGCCAGATATTATAGTTAATTAATAAAAATTAATATATTAATTAGTATATTAATTGAAAGGAGAGGAAAAGAAAATATCATTTAATTCGCTTATTATATATATTCAGGGCCGGTTCTGCCTTGCATGCGATGCATGCAAAAAATGCGGGCACCCGCCTTAGGGGGCGCTAAATTGAGTTTTAGAAATTAAATTTATAATATATTATTTATATTTTTTATTAAAATTTAGAATATTTAATAAATTATGATAATTTAACTTAACTAGGGATACTGAGACAGAAAAAGCATATTTATTTTACATTGTGATATCAGTAGAAACAATTAACCGATTAATAACTGTACAAATTAGTAAATAACAGCTCTGTTTATTGCTTAATCTACTTATTCAATTTTTTCTTTGTTTGTTACCGTGGAATCGAAAAAGAAATTATCTAGTGTTCAATCCATAAGCGGAAACCTGCGAAAGATTATTGAGGAAAAATTGCGAGCTAATTTGCGATAACTTGTTAAAAAATATAAATACATTATGGCATATTTATTCCGAGAAATTGAATTGTAGCTTTTGTTTTTGTTGCAAATGTTTCGCATCTGATGAACTTTGAATGTTGAAGTCATGCGTGATAAGGTTATGAAAATGGAATGAATGGAAATATAAAAAATTTACTCTGGAACAAAAATCTTAAGTTTCTTTTTATACCTAGTGGTGTCCATACTCTAAATTTAATAAATATTAACTTTGCAGAAATAATACATATCAAACATAATTAGTTTTTTTTTCAATATAGTTCGTGATATGTGTTATTTCTTTGCTTCTTTTACTGATTTTAAGACAATACTTCCAAAATACGTTAAAAATTTAACTTTAAAACAACAAACTGATTCTCTGAATATGACGGGAATCCAAGGATAAATACAATTCGGCTCCTACGATATCAATAAGGAGAAGTTTATGACCCAATTTTGGATATTGTGAATAATGAAAAATTAAATTAAATTAAAATTTAAAAAATCCAACACGAAATACGAGTGTTATAGTTGAAAATGAAAAGCTAGTTTATTTAGCTCTCTTGGCATGATTTGCTCAATAGAATAAATCGCACAAAAAATAAGTAAAATATTTCAAAACCCAAATATTAAAATTGCTAATAATCGAAAATTTAAAAATATTTGAATCGCCTCGATTTTCTAAATAAATTTAAAATCAATGTATTTTATACGCTTCTATATTATATCTAATTTTTAGTGTACTAAATTCAGAATATTTAAAAATTATTTATAAAAAAATATGTAACTATTTATATGATTTTAATGATAAACTGTTAAAACAATTAAAATTATTAGGGCGGGGGGCGCTAGAAAAAATGTTGCATACGGGCGCTAAGGACCCTAAGACCGGCCCTGTATATATCATAAATAATATTAAATTAATTAAATGATATTTTCTTTCCTTTTCCTTGTTTTTTGTCGAAAAATGTCAAATACCTTTGTACCTTTGTACTTTTTATCAAGTTTATTGAGCTTTTTGTTTGTAGAATTCACTAATTTTAAATTAGATAAAGTTTGCTTTTATTAAATTTTACTAAATATATTATCATTTAGATTTTTGCTCAATTCTCGAACTGTGCTAGAGTAAATTCGAAGTGAATTACTGTGTTATACGGGGGTTACCTGCATATTTATATATTATTGAATCCGATACATTTTGCCGGACTGATTGTGAGTTATTATGTATGAAATTGTTTTAAGAAAAACTGAATATGTATTGCAAAGTTATGATGTTAGTATTATACTGTCTTCAATAAGAATTCTCATTATACTATAAATATAAATACATTCATATATAAAAAATTACTATACGCATGCATTAAGATTTATAAAAAAATAATTAGGTACTATACATATGAGCTTGAATTAATAGTCTTTTATTTTATAGTAATTGTATCTAGTGATATAAAAATATAAATTAAAATTCTCATGATAGTAACGACAGAAAAAATTGCGTATTTAGTAATTTTCATGCATTCATAGCTCAAGAAAGTAGTCACTGCATTAATAAAAATGAATTAAACATTTTTCATTGTTAAAAAAAATTTGGTGTAATATAGTTCATTCGTTGATTTTGATTTAATTTACAAATATGCGAATTCAATCCACCAATTTTAATTCGTACCAGTTAGAAAATGTGTTTACAGAGAGCATGCTTTTAAAATCACATTATTTGATAGAATTATAGAATTAAATAAATACAACACATACAACTATTATTCGACATGCAAAAAATTATAGGCGTTGCGAGTTGCACTAAAATTGAAATGAATCAAAATTAATAAAATCGCATGTGAAAGCATTCCAATTACACATACAAGGTTTCGCTATTCGTAAAAAAATAATTTGAATAAATGAGAAAAAAACTAAAGAAGTACCATTATCAATCGACCGCAATCAAAAAATGTTATTTACCGTTGATATGATGTTAGTATTAGTGATTTCTCCTCCCCGACGAAGTAACTCCTTGGGCCTACAACTTCAACATGTGTAGTATTACGTCAATTCTCAGGATAATTTATTTTACACAAGATAAACCCCACAAAACAAATTAAATTTAGGAAAACTTAAAGTCGTATTCAGTACAGTTTATAGGAAATCAATAAATATTATATTTACATTTAGAATACGAGCAAGAATTACACGCTTTCTAATTATTCGCTGTAGTTAATGTAATCTATGACAATGTGCAAATTACGAATTATTAAACATATAAGTTCAATTAATCAATTCACACAAAATCTATTTTGATATAACAACCCCTAACATTAAATAGTAAGAAAAAAAATCTAAAAATTGAAATAAACTTTTGTTTAAATATGTTAGTTTCTACATTTATTATTATTAGTATTATTCCAATTTATGTTTTGATCAATATCTACTTAATACAATGCGATATTTATTATCTAGGTCAAAAATTGTATAATAATAACTCAATATTTTGTGTTTTTCAAATGGGGTTTATCTTTTGACTTCGTTATTAACTTTTTCCAATTAACTTACATCAAAATCGCCTATAGTGAACCGTGTAATGTTCATATCCTGAGGTGTTAAATCTGGGCTTATAACCTTCAGAGCAGCATTGGAAAAATAACACATTACATGAAAATATTTGAATATAAAACATGTATAAAAATATTTTATGCTATGGATTTCTAATTGGTCATCCTTGTTTGTATAAAAAATGCGAAAAATGATCTATTTCTTTGGCGATATCTTTACGTTATGTCAATAAATTCGCGGAGAATTTGAATATTGCAAAAAGCAGTTACTTAGAAAACTAATTGTAAGTAAATATAAGAAATATTGGTTTTACAGTTGTGATTTATTGTTAGTCGGGTGGCAGGTTAGCAGGGACAAAACATGCGGGATTAAAATGAAATGTTAACAGCAAGTAAACAAATTGTCAGAAAATATTAAAAAGCCATAGAAATAGAAACAGTTATTTAAAAAGTAACATAGATGTGCTATGCTAACAGAACAGAATTGTAAGATATATTCGTATCATAAAATTTTGGATTTGATAACATTTTGGCATTTAAACGCCTGTGCTCTGCTTCAAAAATTAAACAACTTATAAGGTCTATCAATGACCATATAGTGCACATCAGTAACCCGGGGACTAAGACATTTTAATTTCAAATATCAATCTCTTTAAACTTACATCATCTTCGTCGATCATCTCCTTCGTGGAGGCTGTTGTCTCGATCCTCCTGATCGATCCTTGATGGATGTCGACATCCAGTTTGAGACATTGACAACGTCGCATGAAGAAGACGACCGGCATCGGCAGGACACCAGCACATATCATGCAGACAGCTATCGACATCACCCAGCCAGGATACGAAGTCGGTACCACCGCACCCTGGGAAAAATTAGGCTAAAATTAATATTCAGGAACTGAATTTATGGTAATTCAATAGTAATAAAAATATATGTACGATACATGATATAATCAACGACTAAACTAATAAAATATCTCAAATAATAAAGTAATTTAATGCATGACTTAGAAAGCGCAACATTAATTTGCACTAAAAATAAATTATCCGATTGTGATTACACGATTTAAGCTTTGCTTACAAAAGACATGGTATATTGATTATTTATCGCTATAAATACTAAAAGCACGTCAAGTTTATCCCTGTTAGATTTCAATCATATGATTTTATGTGAACCATCGAGAATACTAGTTTAAATACTAGTGCTACAGGATATTTGGCAAACTGTGGATCGTCTAAATATTTGAAAGGCATGAGTTTTGACAGGTGTTACTTGTTTATGGAAGCTATAGAACTTCAAACCAGAATATATACTTCTGATTAAAATACATCATCTAACGCTGAACTGAAATGTTTCAATATATCGTAAAATTATTTATATATTTATATTGATATTTACCAGTTCTGCGCTCCATGCTTGATACTTTGGATTTTCGATAATCATAAAGACTATACTCGATACCAAGATGACCGTCATTATAACCGGACCAATATATCGCCAAGTGATTTGCCAATACATTCCAGGCCGATACCCTGTCATTTCATAGATATCATTTGTAAACCTAGAAATAATATTACGATAGTGACATCAATAAAATTTTAAACTTTATCACACTATAATATAAATCAATTATTGCAAAATTTATTTAAATCGATATTTTTGAGAAGTAATATCTTTTAAATAAGCGATAGTCGAAGAACACTTTTGTTTTACTGTAGTAGCTGGTTTATGATATTAATATATTGTAATATATTTTAATTTTATCTATGCTTACTTCTCATGGCCGTATACATATATGACAGAAATCATTTCCAACAAAGCCACCACGACAAGTCCAATAGTTCCCGCAAAAGAATCGAACATTTTCAGCCAATATTCACCTGCGCCGGTCGTAAATATTAAACCGACCAGAAAGCAGAAAACGCAAACCACACCTGTTGAATAATAATAATCATTAAATTGATACAATATAATAATAAATAATCTAATAAATTAACAATCGATTTGAAATAATTACTTAGACTATTGATTAATGTAAATTTTCGAATAAAAAAAATTATACCTGTTACATAAGGTTTTCGTATCCTTTTGAAAATTTCGATATCGAAAATTGTACAAAGCATTCCTTCTAAAATACCAATTTGTGAACCTAATCCCAAAGATAACAACATCATGAAAAAAATCACAGCCCAGAATGGCGCTCCGGGTAATTCGACAATTGCTTGAGTAAAGACTATGAACGCCAGGCCCGTGCCTTCTGCAGCCTGAAAAATAAGAGATTAATTCAAATTAGGATTGATGGTTAAGGGTTTCAACCTGAACAGAGATTTATTGAACAGTAAGTTTTCTTTAATATATTCGATGTTGTTTATCTGATTTTCTATCTGAAATTTAAAATTACATACATTGTCCAGTTGAGTGGCGAGACTGCATTCTTCCAAGTCCCAAGCCTTCGTTTCATTGCCTCGCGCCAGTGCGTTTGCCATTCCCGCCTCATATTCGGCCTGACTGACATTTCGAGACGGGAGGATATCATGGGCAAAAAGAATGCCCTTATTTCTAAAATCAACAAATCATTATAAACAAAATTTTACTTTCTCATTACAAGCATCATTTATTTTCATTTTGACTAAGACCATGCGCATTCAGATTGATAAAGTATAGATTATCGTTTTTCTCCTGCATCTTGTATTTTTTTGTTTTTTATTATGAATATGTTATGTAACACAATTTTGACTGAAAAAACTCTCAAAGTCGCCGAGAAATCACGTTTAATTTTTTTATCCCACTCGTTGCGCAATACATACATATCTCGCCAAGTTTTGAGTTATATTATGAAATATATGCCTTTAAAAATAGATTGTCCTATGGTATGAAGAGATTGATTACATATGATTGTAAAAGAATATTATTCAGCTTAAAAAATTTAAATTTAATAAAATGTGTAAATTTATAGAAAATAAGTTTTTTGATTTTAAAATGTGGTGCAGGACAGTAAAAGATAAGATTAAGGCTAAGGCAGAAATCAAATAGCACTTCATCATTCTTTTGAGACAGATCATTTAATTAATTATTATGATTTCAAGTTCGGTCTATGATTTTAATATTTGCTGTTCGTTGAAGTTTAGTATATTAATTAATTAAATTGATATGGCGTTGCTTGCTGAATTTTGTGTGTTTTATTCAAAATTACACCGTAATAATATTAGATGTAATATTTTTTGATTTAAGAATACTGCATCATATTTAAAATTCTATATTTCACTAAATTAAGATGACCTACTATTTAAATGTGCGTGCCAGCATTGTATTATATCTTAAGTCCTATCAATAGAATCAATACTCACACATCGATACACCTGTCGACATTCGTCATCGCTTTGAAACCGAGGATGGCGAAAATGACGAGGCTGGCGTAGATCGCCGTCAGAGCGTTGCAGACGGAAACCAATATGACGTCCCGCACGCAATTGTTCTTCGGCGTGTTGTAGCTGCCGAAGGCGATCAGCGAACCGAAAGCAAGGCCGAACGAATAGAACACTTGCGTGGCAGCATCCAGCCACACGGTGGGATCCAACAACTTTTCCACCTTAAACGAACATCATACTCAATTATGTATATAATAAAAATACATGCATTTTCAATTCGATGTTTAATTTAAATTCAATCATTCAATCAATTTCAAAATGGTAATAAACATTTTAATACTGGCCAATTTTTATCTTCCACTATACTTATAGTATATTAACTAAGAATATCTGAATAACATAAGAACACAAATATTACAAGTATAATTAGAGTTATTATTCATTAGAGTTCATCAAGAATGCATTAAAATCTGCTTCACTAACTTAAACAATAAACTGTTGAAAATGACATTAAATTGAACAAGATTATGGATAACAACATGCCAATGTATTATATAATTTTAATTTTTAATTAAAATCTGCAAATTGCGTTATCCTAATACTAATGTTAAATTTCATAAATCATATAACTATAATAAATACAACATTAAGTAACACATTAACACCTTACCTTAGGTGTATACATGTGTATAAGACCAGCACTAGCTCCTTTTAGAGTAACTGCGCGTATGAAGAAAATTGTTAACACTACATATGGAAACAATGAAGTAAAATACACCACCTGAAAAAAAAACAAAAATAAATATTTAAATAAATCATCAATAGATTTTCAAAAATGATTCCGCTTACCTTTCCAGAGCTCTGTATACCCTTCATGACGATGAAGAAGACCACCGTCCATGAAAGCAGCAGGCATAGAACGATCCACCACTTGATGCCGCCGCTGTCGTCCATGGAGGGCGCAGCGTCCAGCGTCGTCCGGTACCAGAAGTACGCGGTTTCCGAAGATCGCGCGCACTCCGCGACGTCCGTGCCGTTTATTTGCGGACACGACGACCACGGCAATGGAGACTGGCAACGGAAACAAATACATATTCATCATACAAAACACATTTGAAAAATGATAGCAAATTTAAAATTTATCGAGCCGGAGAAATAATCTCACTAAATGAAAATTGAAAAGTCAATTGCAAATAAACAATTAAATTTCAATATTAAATTATATATAAGGTCCGCCAAATTACTTTGTTCTTAGGTTAGATTAAGCAGCCCTTCTGTGTACTCTGCAATCTTTGCATTTCACTTTCAAATAAAATAAGTGAAAATATTTAGTGATTTTTTAATAGAATTTTCAAACAAAAAGAAAATTGGCAAAATATTCAGTAGATTTTTAAAGGAATTTTTCAAAAAAAGCTAGTTGGCGGACCCTATATATATATATATATATATATATATATATATGTATACATTCCTGCTCCCTACGTAATATTTCGTTGTGTATATTCTACATACTATAATAAACTTATAGAAAAGGCTTTGAACTATTTCCAATTGGCTGCAGAAATCGTAGACGTCGATACACTATTAATATTACCGTTAAAAATAAATCACTTTATTACATTTATCACTATCAAGCAGTAAATTAATAATCTAAATAATTAATAATCTAAATAGTCTATTTAAGTAATTAATAGTCTAAATTTCTGAACTAATGGGATTGTCAAAGGTCTTAAATTTGTTGCTTCAATATTTTCAATATTTCTGATAAATATGAATGATATAAAAGCTAAAAATCTGTATATTAAATTGTTTATTTATAACACTTTATGAATAAAAGTGTAATTAAGTGATTGACGTATAAAAATTATAAGTTGGTACAGCTTATTGATTTTCTGGTGGTTTTATTGCTGCTGTGATATTAATTGACTCTGACAAAGACCACTCTCGCAATAATATTAGATGGTATATTAGCACTTTGCTTGATTTTTATTATCTTGATTATTATTATATTAAAGACTATGCACACACACGCACACATTTAGACCTAAATTTGGTTTAAAAGATGATCAATTAGTACTTTAGTAGTTTGTTTTTCCCTATTTCATCATTAAATTTTACAAAATAAGATACATACTAATTAGCATTACCTACAGTATAAAATGTATTAACATTTATATAACTGTCACAAAGGGTTACTGAATTAATTAAAATTATTCTATTCTATAATAAAATAATAATTTTTTTTTGACAGAAACGCCACAACATTGTAACTAAAATTTGTGATTAACGTTTAATTTGTCTTTTATCGGTATATGTAATAATTATCCAAATATAGTTTTTCTGCGTATTTTTATTACAAAGGTTGAAAGAATGATTGCACATAAGGCCGCAGAGGCGTAAATTTGTAAGCAAACACGTAAACGATTATCGGGGTCTTAATTATCGTCTTAAAATAGAAGTATTAGACTAATGGAAAAGTATTCTGTTTAAAATAAGTCTATTAAGAATTTAAACTCACCTGAAAACTATTAAACAAATAGTAAAAGCACCATGTTATGATAACGTTGTAGTACAATGCAACGAACAATGTAACAATACAGCTGGCAATGCCGATTCCACCCAACCTAGATTACAAAAAATCGTAATGGTAATTATAACGATAAAATAACCATAATATTATTCAATGCTAAATATGAATTAATCATTAAAACAATAATAAATCTACTTATAAGCACTCAAGGTTAATTTGCTATTTGGTAAATATTAGGCAATTATTTTCACTGCATCATATATACAATATTTTTTTATATAATTTACATGTTATTTTAATTAAACTTGATATTTTTTATAATTAGCACTAAGAAATGTGTTTGCAATAAAATCATGCGTCAAGTCAAGACAATTTTTGTTTAACCTTATTATTAGTAGTGAACGGGCTGTCTAATATTCAGAAATACTACAATTTGAGCAGAAATCCTCAATAGTTATTTTAGTTACTTATTAATCTAGTTCATAAGATAGATTCGGACCCGAAAATCAGCGAAATTAAATTTCGTATGTTGTTAAATTATTCAAGCTTCTATAAAATTATTTACAAATTCTTGTATTTTATGCAATATAACAAGATATTCTATATGCATGTTGCTAGACATTTTATTCCTTCAACTTACCAGGGGTGTATTGTATTCCAGACTCCGAGAGACCCCAGCCTCATTTTCTGGCCTATGCCCAGTTCTATTAAAAATAGAGGAATGCCCTCTAATATTAACATTATCATAAAGGGTATGAGAAACGCACCTGAAAAAAAAATAATGATTTTCAATTTAACATAAATATGATTTTTTTAGCCTATGTTAAGTGAAAGTGTCATATGCACAAATAAAACATTCTGATATTTTTAAAATACCTAAATCATTATTCATGAATTTATGTCTTTGAGTCTATTTTTGAATCTGGAAGTTTGCCAATAAGCAAAAAAATAAATTTTCCTAGAGATGGACATGCTCGAGGCGAAATGCCGAATGTTGTTTGAATGGAATAGATATCGACCAGGATATGTTACAATGTTGATGATTGATTATTTTTATTTTGACAAATTATTTCAAACTAGAAGCAAGTATTATAAAAGCCCAAGAACGATATTAACTTCTTGCTTTAGTCATCCATAAACAGTGAAAATATACAGAAAATGTAGAAAAGATGTTAAAAAAGACAATATTTTGCAGAAACTCGAGTTTTAACATCATTAGACAAAATAATTATTTAAATGAAACTAAGAAAATATATGAAAATACAAATCTTTATTGAAGTATCATTGAACAGCTTTTATTCTAATCATAAAACTAAAAATACTTTAAGGAACCATCAAATTTTATTGCAACTAATAAACACGAAGATGATTCATATATCATATTAGTAATGAGAAATCTAAAATAAATTACGTCACCAATTCAAATCTGCCCTACTGCCCTAAGGTCAAATAGCGTAATTGACCCATGAAATAATAAAAACCAATTACATTTTTATTCTACTATTATTATTTCTATCAAAATTTGTTTCTTCAAATACAAGATTTAATTAACGTTTGTATTTATTATATAAGCATTTATTATTTCACTAATTAGAATTATTTTAATATTGCAGAATTTTAATTAGTAGTCGCATGTTGAAAAAGAGTTTAAATTAATAATTCACGCTTCAGCTCCACCCAAGATTATATAGCTAACGTTAAATTATTTGATTATTATAATTCGCTTGTATTAATTTATATATATATATATATATATATATATATGTGTATATATATATATATATATATCAGGGATAGGAATTTACTCGAATTCTGTATGAAAATATTTTACTCGAAATATTATAAATTTGAAATTCACCATTACGAAACGTCTGGCAAATCACATCAAGTATTTGATTTCAGATTATTTACTATTTCCAAATTCACATTATTAGCAATTTAATTTAACAATAAAACTACCATCTCTAGAGTATGGAATGGTAAAGAAATTCATTGTCGTTTCAAGACAATTTGTTAGACTCATTTCTACGTCGGAATACTGTAGGGTTGTTTTATATATGTTTGTAAAAGTAATAAGGGAACAACCAGTACTGCTGAATTAACCAGCAAGAGAGTAAATTCTCATAAATAGAGAATATACACATAGGATATATACACGAATTTACTTGTTCGATGTTGAAAAGTTCTACGAATACTAAGGGAAAGTCTTGAGCACACTAAAATGGGTGTCATGGTTAAATTTCATGTTGGAGATTTTTTTTGTTCTTAGAACAAGGTACTTAAACACTTTTAAGTACATAAACAACGAAAACCTGCAAGAAGAACCTAATAAGCGTTTATAGTCCTAATGTTCTGCATTGCTAATAAATTACATGTACTTATTACTTTATGTATACTTGAATAATCATAAAATAAAATATAAATTATGTTTTAATGTGAGATAGCTATAATTATTGCACATTCTTATGATTTTTAAATTATATACAACATATATACAGTATTTAAAATTCAGTTTATAAAAAATATAGTTCTCCATAAAAATAGGTTCAGAGACAGTTCGATCTATAAATTTTATATAACATAAATAAATATATATTCCGGCATACTTGTAAGAAAATGTTAGTAGAACTCGACAACTTTATCTTGCAAATTAATGAAACCTACAATAATAAGACGACCTTAAACTTCAACCGAGTAAAATATTGCAGTAGGCAAATATTTGACCTCGTCAAGCTGGACAATTATAAGTGAGTTTATTAAGATTTTAGACCAGAGATCTACATCATCATATGATGTTGGCGTTGCCAAGCAAATTCACAATATTTTGCCTTCTTTGTATAAACGATTTAGTTGGTTTTCAGTTAATTGTGGTAGTATAGCAACTATTACAATTACGATAAAGAAAAATAAGAAAATAGTATTTATAAGAAAGTCCGCTTACTAATGATTGTTCAGACTACTCTGCAATATATATATTTTTTATTTATAGTACTTTTCAATACATGTTTCAACACATTTAAGGATGAATTACGAATGCCCGAAAATATTCATTATTCATAAAGCTATAAATTTTAACAAAACGTAACGCCATATGTATCCAAAATTGATATGCATTTAAGCTTTTATCTACACAATTATTTCGCATTATTTAAAAATGTTTTCCATTTTAACGATTAGATTATTTATTAGAAGATAATCCATATTATATCGTTGATAAATAATGGTAATACAAAATAAATTAATTTTGATAAATAATTTTTATTAAAGAAACAGATATTGCTATTATTATATTCATCATCTAGCACTGAACTAATATGATGAAAAATTTACTGAATTTGCATTTCAACTTCAAATATTTCTGGAGACCGGTTTGAAAACAATTTTTATGGAAACCTTAAACTTATATGAAAGGGTTGTCAACGAACCCTTTCTGTATTTGTTGATTGTTCCGGTTTGCGAAAATAATCCTCTGTAAAAATTGCTTTAGTGCACACACACACATATATACATATACATATACATACATATATATATATATATATATATATATGTATATATAATACACGTATGTGTTTATATTAGTATTTTATTTATATATCTACCAACAAATCGTTAAATCTTTCATTAGGATGTTTGGAAAGTTGTGAGTAAATTTTACTTGAATTGGTTACATTTATCATACCAATTAGTTATTTTAAGTAATTTTACTTAAGATGGCCTATGCAGTCTGTTCTGATATTTACTATTATTTATTTGAATATGAATTTCCAATTGGATGTTGAAAGTTGAATTTTTCAACTTCTATCTAAATCAAATAATTTTAATAAATAATATAACAATGAGAGCATCTCGAATTTACTTCTGTTCTCTGAACTGCCTTGCATCATTAATAAAGTTATGATTTTCGTCTATATATAAATCACATGACCTCGGTAAATGTCAATTGCATATGAGTGCACCTCAATAAAACTAGTAGATATAAATATTTTTGAATGAAAAACCCTATAATTAACCCTGCTAAGATGTATCCCAACAATTATTCACAAAAATCGATTATACACAATTCATTCTTGGGGTACTATATAAAAATATCAAAAATATTTTATATTTGTTTATTCATTATTATATTTTAATAAAAACGATGCTGATGAGATAAAGAATATTTTTTACAATTTGACTTCAAACAGTAATCACTTTGGAATTGATTATTTTTTTACTATAGTTAGAAGAAATTTACTAGTTCAATTAAATAGAAGTTTATGCATTTATAACTTGAAGACGGTTGTACAGGTATTTCCTATTTGAACAAATCTTATGTGTAAAATATTAAAAATAAATTAAAAATCTTTGAAATGTTTTAAATCATACAGTGATACCGATAGAATTGACTAGTATGTGATGTAATACTATAATAAATAAATATATATTATTTATAGCTCTAATATAATAATAATTATTTTTCCATCAATAAATAATAATATATATTTAATTTTTTTTTATCACTTCAGATATTCTTCAAGGGCATCTACAGCAATGTATGATATAAAAGTTTAGTTTTTGTTTTTAAATTTTTTGTTATTTCATTTATAAATTTTTTACTTTATTCTGATTGTTACATATAAATTTAATAAAAAAAAAATATAATTTTTATATTTTGGTCAATTATGAAAATGTTTCGAAAAATCTATGTCAACTGTGAAATCAACTTATATTTAATTTCTAACTAGTAAATTTCCAAGCATTTTGAAAATACTCACAACTATTTAAAACTAGATGCTTTACATTGTGCTCTGTTTATAACTTTTGAAGCCAAATTACGTGATTTTTAATGTGAAATAAAAAAAATTGCTTATGATTAAATATACCGATAAAATAGTGAACTTAAGGTTTCGAGAAAAATAGATTTACATACTTTGGGCATGCAACATTCGAGAACTAATCATTAAACTCTCATCAATAAAATGATTACTCTCATTATTCCAAAAAAATATTTATATATGATTTATTTATTAATATTTGATATATTCTCTCATTCAATGACCGCATTATATCTTCTACGTTGCCAAAAGTTGCGTTAGGAAGAAAATGATGAAACTTTATCGATTTCTGTCTGGAGACACGGTATAAACTCATGTTATATTAAAACTATCTTGTTCTGAAACAACATAAGAAACAACCTAGAATCGGATTAGAATCGTGTATCCTTTCGGTTTGGGGATTCAAATTATAATACTTTAAGATATATATATATATATATATATATATATATATATATATATATATATATATATTGATAGTCAAGGATTCAATCAGGCATAAAACTGCATACTATTAAAAGAAAAAAAGAAATATGAAATGATACTGCTGACGTCTTTTGAGAATTCAAATCAATAAAATGACAAAAGTACAAGCATTACGTAATCCTTCTGAAAGAGTATTGTTATATACAAAGATTTCAGTTATGATAAATAAAATTAAAAATATTGCATAATTAAGTTCATCACGCCAGTTTTTCGCAAAAAAAATATGTTTATAAAAATGCACAGTCGAAATTGTGTTTCATTAAGATGAGAAAAAAAGTTTATAGCTTTTGAATTCAATTGTTATAATTTCGTTTATTATACAGATCTTTTGCAGGAAATAAGACACCAAAACAATTCTCCATTCAGTTCGATTCAAATTGTAACAAACACGATTTTCATAATGCAAGATCAAAATGTTGTTGCTTTTTTTTGGAAGGAAATCATATTTTTTAGTAAATTGACACTTTGAAACAAATGTTTGTTACCAAAATTGCTTTAGTTATAAAATATGTAAATATTTGTAAATGAATAAATTTCATGGATACAATACAGATATGTGCACAATATTATTTTATATATATCAAAATCCTTCTAAGAGTACTTCCCCACTATTTTAAAACCAGTTGCTTTTCAATATCGTCGCAATCTCAAGGGCAAACCTGAATTGAATAGGCCGAATTATGAAAATATGAATTTGTTTACATCATCAATCAGACCCATTAAATTTCACACGGGGCACATTTCTTGGATATCGACTGTTGAGATGTGCATGTGCAAAACAACAATGAACAATCATTACAAACGATAATTAAATTTTTAACACCTGGATATGGAAATTTAAAATTCTCTTTGAAAGAGAGGCAGCATTGTTTCAAAAGATAAATAATCGCAAAACAATACTAGACGAGAAATGGCAGACATGTTAGTTGATGTTTTTTTTTATTATTTATTGTTATAACATGAATGAAATCGTTTCATTATCGTCTTACAACATATTCGGAGCAAAAAAAAACTGGCTGCGAATAATTTCATATAGAAACATAATGTGAATATAAGATAGTATTGATGTATCAACACTTACTATGGTTCAATAATATCTAATATTTATAGTCATTAGTAAACAGTTTAAAGTTGTTGGTATTATATATAGAGATATAACTAAGAAACAATAAGATAAACGATTGTCAAAAATTGGAGTAACTAACAACTAGAAATAACGACAATCCTATCGAGGAAATAATTGAAGAATGATTCTTATGACGTATCTAGTTCTGATTCAAAAATTTCCTCTATATACATGAATATTTTTAGTACTGTGCATACATATGTACATATATAAACAGATGTACCGACTTGAGGAATTGTACCAATACAAAGGAAGGACGTGTAGCGCACGCGCTTTTCCGCCAGCCGATGGATAACATATGTGGTCGTGTCGTGTCGTACTCACCACCTCCGTTTTGTTGACACAAATAGGGAAATCTCCAAATGTTGCCCAAGCCGACCGAGTAACCGATAATGGATAGAAAAAATTGCAATTTTCCACTCCATGCCGCTCGGTCGGGATCGCCGCCGGGCAGATCTTGAACTTCGCCGACGGAACCGCCTCGCACGGGACTAAGGACGATCGTCACCCCATGCGAACCGTCGCCTCGTGCACGCGTGTTCAGCGGCGCCAATTCGTGCACGGAACCCTGCACCTTCGAACCACCATCGATTTTCAACGTTATATCGCCCGGTATGTAACGTTCCTGTTGCATTATTTCTTCGTCGATTTATAAACTATCAAACACGAACAACAGCAATTCAAAATCATTCACTTCGAATAGATATAGACTGAACAATAAAATGATTCGAACGATTGAATAATATTCGATTGGATTGGATTGGATTGGATTGGATTCACCACATTCGACAATACAATATTACAATATTACAATAACGATACACTCAATACGATAAAACGCACTTAATTTTATGTCACCTGAATCAAAAATTAATAATTTCATTAAATAATAACAATCACAAATACGAATTACACATTTATATATGTTATCAATCTTATACAGTTCTTATTAGAATCTGTCAATAATTGAAACCGTATCGGGTATTAGAATTAACAATTGCTTAATAGGAAGTTATATTATCGCCGTATTGGTGCGAGCACGTCCATTGAATATCTGCCGTGTTCTGGGCGCGTACTATAACATTTGGCTACGTTATGTAAGTTTTATTGATTTCTGTACTTCTTGTCGGATGACGCGCGGATCGTACTATATACATTTGCGATAGACACAACACTGCGCTCTCCTGCGTTCGGTTGGCACAGGCGCTAGGACTGACAACGACAACGACAACGACACCGAACACTTCGGAATCGGAAGACTGCCATCGGAACGTTCAATGATTCAACCACCCGATTCAGTAAACCATTCGAACGGCAACGACTGAAACAATCCACCTATGATGACTATTTGACCAAACGATGAAACTATTTTCATTTGGGTCTGACGATGTCCGTTGCCGTACGCATTTTACGTTACGACATCAAGTTATTTTGGAAACGTGCAGATGACGCATTACATTGATATGTATCATGTAAACTCCTGACCACTGTAATTGCTTCGAATTCATTTCTAGAAAACGTTTCTGTCAATTGTAAATCAATGCGTGAGCAAAATTTAAAATGAGCGATCAAGTTTAAAATAATCGTTTAGCAAAATAAATCACTATCCTACCCATTTTTCTTCCATTTAAATCCTTCTCTAGATGGAAGCACTAATTTACGCCTGCAGGAGTTGTACATATATATATATATATATATATATATAAATGATGTATATCATTAGCCTGGTTATTATATTGACGATTATTTAATTAATAGATTTTATTACAGAATACAAATATATTATATAATCATTATCCTTTATTATTCTTAAGTTATATATACATAAATGAAGCGCATCATTATCTATGTTTATGTATTTTAGAATAAAAATGTAATTGAGCTGGTTTCTACAGTTTATACAAGTATTATTGTTTATTGTTTGGGCAAACAATCACTAATTTGTTGAGTTAACCATTCAACTCCATTTTGGAGACCTTCGCCCGTTAATGCGTTTGATGAACTAATATGCCATGGCTTGTCTTTTATAGCCTCCAATCCTAAACCTGTACAATAATCAATTATTAATATTTATTATATACACTTTTTTGTTTATTTTACACATAAAACTATTAATTTACCTGAAGCTATTTTTACGCTCGATAAAGCATCGGCGTAATCCATTTTATTCGCAAAAAACAATATTGGTAATTTTCTATTACATATATCTATTACATATATCCGGATGTTGTAGAAGCAAATCTAACTCATCTTTAACGACAACTGTAACATATATGTATTGTCTGATATTATTCATATTTAAAATTAAATTTTCTATTTATATATAGATTTCTAATGGAAGAACTTATTAGTGCAAATCGAACACACACTGATAATTGGACATGATATTACTTATCTATACAATTTCCGCTTCAAAGGGCTTTTCAATAATAGTAATTTATCGCAGTCAACGCGGAAATAAATTGGTCTTCCCTAAATTAGTAAAATAATTAATTATATGTAATATCATTTGAAACTAGGTGTAAGTGGCTTTTTGTTATAAAGCGACTTAAACAATAACAATTGAGATTTAACAACTTTTCAAATTGATTACCGCGTTGATTGATTATATCAATTTTTATCCCGTAGACACACACATACATAATTTTTCCAATTCGGTGTCAAACGTTTCGGAATGACATGAAACGACGAGAAATCATAAAGTAAGCAAATTTTGCGGCAGAAGCTTCATTTTCTTAGGGTAAGTGATTACTTTAACCAATTTCGAAAAGTTTGAATTTCAATAAATATGTAAAAATATTTTATAAACTACAGATTTTACCTAAACGTAGTATATCGCTAGAATCTACAACAAATATAATTCCTTGGCACTTTTTGTAGTAATGTTCCCACAATGATCGGTATCTACCTTGTCCAGACATATCAAAAGCGGTGAACTCCACATTGTTAGCTAAAAATTTAAATAATTAATGCATATAATTGTTATTATAGTATAAAACTTAATATCACTTGTTCATTATCTTCCAATTCCAGAAACAAAAATTAGATCAAATAATCTTATGGACTTCTAATGTAGTATCTTTAAATATTTACTTTGAAATTTCTCCACACTAAATCCGACAGTAGGCACAACGTTCATGGTGCGCTGCTCCTGCGTTTTGAATTTATTAATTAGAGTACTTTTTCCGCTATTATTAAGTCCTATAACTAAAACAGTAACTTCCGATTTGCGCAAACCTAAAATGTCAGCAAGCCGATCAAATAGACCCATGTTGCAGATTCGATATATCGAATCTATAGTGCAACTATTCAAAACCTGGAAAAAAATACTTTGAAATTTATTGTAACTTCAAATCATTATGTCGTATCAACAACCTTAAGTGCTGCAATATGCTTATTCTTACCTATTCCATAGCATCAAAACTATATGGCACAAATATTAAATTGTTGAAGCACATTTTCTTTTCAAGTAAATTCATTGTTTTCATGCTCATGTTATAAAAAATATGAGGTTGTGATTTGTTGTGAAAAATGAGCTTTGACTAATCAATATGGTTGTCAAGCACATTACGCAGCAAACTTATATATAAACCACTAATAGCGACATTGAAATTAAATGAATTTAAGAAAATGCTAAAATACATTTAATTTAATAATTTTGATTCACAAAAACTTAATTTATAACAGTTACAGGTACAAATTAAAAATATAGAAAATGTAGTACGTTAATATATATAATTAGCTGTATTTTTATAAGATTTTGAATTATCTGTACCTACCAACTTAAGAAAAAACATATATAATACAAAAATATTAATTATAATCAATCAATATATATATATATATATATATATATATATATATATATATACTATTTTTTCATCTATTACATAGATAGCATATAATAAACACAGTAATAAAGACAGTGCCATATAATAAACACTTTTCAAAGAGTATTGTAAGTGTAAACATGTATTAGAATATAAAGTTAAATATACAAGTTACAATGTAAAACCCAAGATATATATATATATATATATATATATATGTATGTGTGTGTGTTTGTGTGTGTGTGTGTGTGAATTTATAACAGAAATACATACCGTAATCATTCATGTTTTGTCCTCATTTATGTAAGTTGTTTCATAAATTTCACATTTATGAGTGCTAAAATTGATATTAATACTAATTATAAATTGGCTAAGAAAATCGAAATTACCAGCAGTTTCAGATAATATTGAAATTATTATTAAGAATAGAAAGTATCTGAAAAGAATTTGTCCAAAAACATATTGTCAATATTATTTGGTTTGTTCTTGATCAACAAGTTACGAAAATTTTGTTTAGCTCGTTTGCGAAATTATTAATATAGCAGTAAAAAAATATCTAGATACATCAAACGTATATATTTTATATTTCGGCCTTGGCATAAAATAAATAATCTCTATATCAATGATAAATTAGAGCTGCATTTGTCATGAAATATATAAAAAAAAAATCAAAAAATTATAATGATAAGTTTTCAATTAAAGTTCTGACGCAAATTTCCATTAAATTATACTAATAGCAAATAAGACAGGAAATAATAATAAAACGATCTATTCCTGATGAATCTTCATTCTGTTAATTTATATGTACTGCAAAAGTGAACAATTTATAAGCTCCCAGGCACACATTGATTCGAGCACCGACTCGGTCTGGGCCAGAATTGATTGCGATGATCACAAGAAAGCGAATCAGGTATTATAACTGACATCGATGCAGAAGGATTTCTCATTTTTAACTCACTCTAATTATGTATAAGTGGCCTTTTGCCCTATATGTAATATTAATAATCGACATAATTAATCAATATGAATTAAGATTTAGCTGTTTAAAAAAAATTTGCAATTGTTTATTTCAAAATTGCATTAATACGCGTTTGAATGAATTTTCCTCCAAACTTCAATGAATTTTTATAACTCAGCAATTTTTCATAGGCCTATATTTTTATATAATTAACAATATTTTAAGACAATCTACAACGTTTTGGATATTCTAGAACATTTACAGGCAATCTACAACATTTTCAAAAATCTCTACCGCCTTTCCAAGAGCGTTATTATTTAATTTAACACTACAACATTGCTGCATCAATACATCATAAATATCTTTACAAATACAATATTGCAGAATGTAATGAATTTATTATGTCTATAACAAATATGTGATATTTAAAATTTCAATTATTTTTATCATTTTTTACTTTTTAAAAATTAATCAGGAGTTATGGCGACGTATTTACCAAATACAGCGAAGATATGCAAAACTGGGATGGCGATGTACATGTAGCGGAATGTACCATGACACAGAAGCTCATTCTGCACAATGTAGTATTTGGCAAAGGTCAGTTAATCATTTTTAACTTGATGTTGTGTTGAAACAATCTAGCACTTTTCTACTTATTGTAAAGAAATGGGTTCGCCGATCGTCGCGCAAACCTAATCAACTCTTGTATTCGCTCGAGTTTCCCTTTTGAAGAAAACATCGACGAAAAGTCAAATTTTAGCTCGCATATAAACACGCTTGAGCACACAAATGCATTTTCTAAATTTGGTCACAAACGATTTAAAATGACTTGAAAACATCGAGAAAACATAAAATTAGCAAGTTTTAGAAGTTACTTTAAGTTACTTACTTGTACCTATATAATATTAAAATATTATTTAGGTAAATACTTCATGGGTGTTAAGTTTGTCAGATTAATATTAAAAAACTTTAAGACTATTAAAATACATAATTGATAATGATGGTACATAGCAAGGAAGCCCCAGAATTCGAGAATGGTCTACCAAGTTATCTCGAAACCGAAACCAGTTGCTCTGCTCGTACGACAAACTCATGGGACGAATGCAGCAAGAATTATCAGGACGACCTGATCGAACCATGGCTGGCACCAATCGAGTACTATTTTCAAACGCTCAGCAAACAAGAATCGGCCGATTTTTCGGGAATCTCATCGTTAGTATATAAACTTTCTAGCTGATTTAAATTCAAATCCTTATTCGATAATTCTAAAGTAATCTAAATGTCTAGTTCAATTTAACCCTTTCTCTACGAGAAAGTTTCTGTGTGTACGTGTGTCGCCTAAAGACAGCACTGAACGTGTCGACTTCTGCTTCAAGATTTATCACTGCGCAATTCTTGCAAATTCTAATTTGTTGTTGCGGATTTTGGTTCGTTGCGTTTTTATTATGGAAAATCTTGATATATATATATATAT